ACCTTGTCACCACTTTCCTATTTAAGAAAAAAAATGAGTGAGAAACAGGAACAGAAGTTCTAATTTTAAAAAAGACTTTTCACTGTACAGTACTAGGGACTTTGCAATCAATCATTTTCAGCAGGAATGTTTGATATTAAACCTGGTGTGGATTTTGTGGTGTCTATTGAGACTTCCACCTGAAAGGAAGCTTTTCCCACACTCCATGCATTTGAAGGGCTTCTCTCCTTTGTGAACCATTTCATGGGAACGAAGGTTCCCCCTTTGACTGAAGCTCTTTCCACACTCCAGGCATTTATAAGGTTTCTCCCCTGTGTGGATTCGGGAATGCAGAGTAAGCTTACCACTCTCACTGAAGCTCTTTCCACATTCCTGACACTTAAAGGGTTTCTCCCCTGTACGGACTCTTTGGTGTTGTCTAAGGGTGTGGGCTGACTTTAAATTTTTTCCACATTCAGTGCATTTATAACATTTCTCTGCAATATGAGTTGCATGGTGTATCTTAGCTTGATTCTTCCATTTGAAGGCCTTTCCACACTCTGGACATTTAAATGGTTTCTCTCCAGTGTGGATTATTTGATGGCGAGTAAGTGCTGACTATGTAATGAACCACTTTCCACACTGATTACACTGAAAGGGTTTCTCCCCCGTGTGGGTGCGCTGATGATTAACAAGCTCTCCAGCACAAATGAAACTCTTCTCACACTCTAGGCAGTGAAATGGCTTCTCCTCTGTGTGAAACCTTTGATGAATGAACAGTAAGGTGAGAACTTTGCAAGAAAGTCTTCCCACACTCCAGACATTTATATGGTTTTTTCCCTGTGTGAGTTCTTTCATGAGAAACAAGGTGATGCTTTCTACTAAATCTCTTTCCACACTCCAGACATTCATAGGGTTTCTCCCCAGTGTGAATTCTCTCATGGAAAACAAGGCTACTTTTTTGGCTGAAGGTCTTCCCACACTCTTGGCATTCAAATGGCTTCTCGCCTGTATGGATCCTATTATGTGAAGGAAGGCTTTTCTTAAAACAGAAAGCCTTTCCACACTCCAGACATTTAAAAGGCTTCTCTCTTGTATGAACGCTTTGATGGCTAAGAAGGGAAACTTTCAATCTAAAGCATTTTCCACATTCCTTGCATTCAAATGGCTTCCGCCCCGTGTGGATACTCTGGTGGGTTTTCAGGGTTGAGCTCTTCCTGAAACTCTTTCCACACTCTAGACATTTATATGGCTTCTCCCCTGAGTGAATTCTTTGATGAGCTGTAAGAATTTCTTTCACCCTGAAGCATTTCCCACACTCCAGGCACTCAAAGGGCTTCTCCCCTGTGTGAATTCTCTGATGGGAATTTAAATTTGACTTCTTCCTGAAGGTCTTTCCGCACTCTAAACATTTATATGGCTTCTCCCCAGTGTGCACACTTCGGTGCAAGGCAAGGCTGCTCCGACTGAAACTCTTTCCACATTCCCAGCATTTCAATGACTTACTTTCTCCTTGACCAATTGTCTTTCTACATGCCACCTGTTTGTATGGTTTCTCACCTTGGTGAATCTTTTGATGATTCATCCAGGATATTTTCAGATGAAAGGTCTTTCCACATTCAAGACATTCAAATGGCTTGTTGTCTGTGTGGGTCCTGAAGTGTTTAGCAAAGTTTGCACTCTGACTGAAACTCTTTCCACACTCCATGCATTGAAATGGCTTCTCCCCTGATTGAATTCTTTCATGGACGGTAAGATGTGCTTTCACTCTAAATCTTTTTCCACACTCCAGGCATTGAAATGGCTTCTTGTCTGCATGGATCTTGAGGTGTTTAGCAAGGTTTGCAGACCGACTGAAACTCTTTCCACCCTCCAGGCCTGTCAATTGTTTTTCCCCTTT